GCCTCAGCTTCCCAAGTAGCTGGGACTACAAGCGTGAGCCACTGCACCCGGCTAACTTTTGTATTATTTATTTATTTATTTTAGTAACGACGGGGTTTCAACGTGTTTCACCAGGCTGGTCTGGTACTGCTGAACTTGTGATCCGCCCGCCTCGGCCTCTCAAAGTGCTGGGATTACAGGCATGAGCCACTGTGCCCGATCTGTTAATTCACTTTTTAACAGACATTCTGACTGGTGTGAGATAGTATCTCATTGCAGTTTTTTGTTTTGTTTTGTTTGCATTTCTCTAATGTGATGAACATTTTATAAAATATTTTTGCTAGACACATACTTGTGTTTTCAAAAATATGTTTATGTTTTTTGCCTACTTTTTAATGCGGTGGTATGTTGTTTTCCGGTAAACTTGTTTAAGCTTCTCTATTCTGGATATTAAATCTCTGTAAAAAATAATTTGCAATATTTTCTTTTTATTTCGTAGATTGTCTGTTTAGTCTGTTAATATTTTCATTTGCTGTGCAAAAGCTCTTTAGTTTAATTATGTTCCATTAGTCAATTTTTGCTTCTGTTGCAGTTTCTTTTGGTATCTTCATAATAAAATCTTTGCTAGTTTTTATGCCTAGAATGGTATTTTCTAGGTTATTAATCTTCCAGGTGTTTTTTTTTTTTAAATTAGAAGTTTTGCATTTAACTCTTTAATTCATCTTGAGTTGATTTTATATACGGTGTAAGGAAGGGGACCAGTTTTAATCTTCTACATAGTGCTAGCTAGTTGTTCCAGCACCATTTATTAAATAGAGAATACTCACATTTCTCTCATCAGCTTTGTCAAAGATCAGATAGCTGGCCCGCCTCAGCCTCATAAAGTGCTGGGATTACAGGCATGAGCCACCTTGCCTGGCCATCAACATAGAAATCTTAAAGACCCCCCTTTGAGATTGTGGCTCCTTAAGCTTTTCAGATCTTGTTTAGTGACTGCTACAGTTATGTGAGAGGCTCCAGGTGTAAATAGAATCTGATGACAGAATCTGTAAGTGTAAACAAACATCTTAAGAGTGAGAGATCAAGTCCACAAAGTATCCAAAGCCATGATCACAACTATACCTACCTTTAAATTGTGATATTGGAGTAGAGTATTCTTGTCCTTCCCACTCAAAAGCTGGCAAAGCAGGATAGATGATCCAGCTTCTGGAGCTCCACCAAGGCAATTCCATTTTTTATTAGAATCAGCCTGAGTTTCTCCAGCCTGGGTTATCATTAGGCCATCAGCCCTGGGTCACTGAGAATCCTCTAGCAATCATCTAGGTGTTTTCAAGACATTGAGGATGTCCGGGGCAGAATTGTGTCAGGCTGACAAGAATGATTAATTCTGCTTCTGTATCAGTGTAAGAGAAAGGAGTCATCCTGTGTTTTCTTCTCCCTGATACAAGAGGTAACTGGTTGGTGCCCAGATGAGAGTTTCTGAAGTTTTCTGGTACTTGGGTGAAAGACAAAGAGAAGATCTGGTGACTCAAACTATTAAACTAATTGCTTCCATTTCATATGATCATTCAAAAAATAGATACAGCAGTCATGGTCCCTATCATCCAGAAACTTTTAGTCTAGATGGGCAACTGGTTACATGATTGAATTAAGCATCATATGGTAGTCCAATGAATAGATGTGTGAAAAAAACAAAAACAAAAAACTTGGGCCCCTTTTTTTTTATATTGCTGTGACTTATGTTATTACCTGAAGGGCTATTTATGAACTGAAGAGTTGCTATTATTTTTCCTTTACTTTACTAAGAATAGATATTTATCTTCTGCTAAAATTATCGTAGAAAACTTTAAAAGATTTGTTTAAATTGCTTATTAGTATATGTTATAAAATAGACAAAGCAGTGGCCAAAATAGATTAAAGTTACATCAACTCTGAAATTTAAGTTTTTAGGTAAGCTTAGGAAAAACAGAACTGGAAATACCCCAGAGGCATAGAGAACAAATTCTACCTAGGGTCTTCTCCCTGCCCCAGTTCATATCAGATTCACCCTTTTTGGAGGACTTATTTAGGTCTGGCCTCACTCTGGAGTCTTTCTTTATAAAACTGATTCATAAAGATTCAAGTTTTGGCTGGTAAATCCTGCTGACTTTCTAGAGCTGGTGCTCACAATATCCTGAAACCCAAAAGCAGATACATAAGAAAAATAACATATACATTTCAAGATCTTAATTTTTAAATTTTGTCGTAAAACCAGTGCTTATAACAAGATTTTATTTAGCAACTTGTTTTCTAGCAGATCCAGTAGTAGCTCCACAAGTCACAAACAAGTAAATATAAACACAAAAATTTTCTCTAAACTACATTAAACTCTACGTTTATAGTTCTTTATCTGTAGATCGTTTGTTTATATTTAGCTTTTAGTTATTTATATATCTTCATGTCTACATTTTTAGCTTTTAGTTTATATGTTTTTAAGAAAATCAATGACAGAGAAACAGAGAAATAAATATTAATTCTAGGCTCTTTAAATCCTGAGAATTATTGAGCACTTAGTATGAACTTTCAAGGTGTTATTAGGATTAATCACATAATGTGTTATTCCCAGCACAGTGCCCTGTAACACACTCTTGAGCACATAGTACCTTCTTTTTATTATTATTATTATATTATTATTTCATAATCTTTATTATAGTAGAATGATGGTCCTGGGCCACCAGCTTAAACCTTGTGGCCTTACAAAAGACCTGTGTCAACAGAGCTTGCCTCCTTCTCTAGACAGGGGCTCAGCCACCTCCAGGGGCATCCCTGCTGCATTTTCCCTGCTAGAGAATGGGGCAAAGGATAAAGGGAGAAGAGGGCATGACCTCACCTCAGGCTATAGCAGCTCCTCCACCACAAAGATCCTTTCGCCAGCAGCAGAAGAAAGGAAAACAGTGGTATGGCCAGGAACCCATTACCTCCTCTTACAGTTGCAGCACATGGTTCCTTAATAAACATTGCATGAGTTCATGTATACCTTTTTTTTTTTTTTTTTTTTGAGACGGAGTCTCACTCTTGTTACCCAGGCTGGAGTGCAATGGCGCGATCTTGGCTCGCCACAGCCTCCGCCTCCTGGGTTCAAGCAATTCTCCTGCCTCAGCCTCCCGAGTAGCTGGGATTACAGGCGTGCGCCACCATGCCCAGCTAATTTTTTGT